GATTAACACCTGAAATAAATCTTGCGGACGAATAGAACAATCTGAGATGAAAACTCTATCTGGATCGCACTTTGGATTCGAATAAACACACAATTAATTAATTGACAATGACAAAAATGCCCGCAAAAATGTATTCTGAAACACATGAATGAATTAATGAATTTCCGTGAAAGAATGAAATTTGGAAATTTACCCCGCACACAAGCGGTCGACAATTAAAATAAAAAAAATTTTAATCTAAATAATCTGGTCGTAAAAAGTTTACGGTATTCAGTCGCACAGACACAAAAACTCGCTGACTTTACTTTGATTTTGTGGCTTTTCGGAGCCAGTTTCCGGAACTTAAGTTCGGAGATTCTGGACTCACACTGAAATTTTTCGCTGAGGCTGTGATGACAGCTGCGTGGGTGATTAACCGAACAGGACCGCCTCTAGAACCAGGTATTTCGCAGTCGACAGCCATATTTGAATACTCTAGCAGTAAAAGCGAGTATAAGTGACATCACTAACTCACCAGGAGACCAGAATCCTACACCAGCACCAGAGCCGGTAGTAACAACAGAACAAGCAGCGGAACCTCTACCGGAAGTAGGACCTGTGGAATCAAGGTCAAATTCCACCCTCAGCCAACAGATCAACCACCGTCGATCCATGCCTCTCATTGCCCTACCTGGGAACGACATCCAGGTAAAGCTCACCCCCGAACTCTTTTTGCTAGCAATGAGGCCTTGAATGGTTCGTGTTAGGGTCGACACCATGATCTACTCGAACGAGTAGATCACTCAGCGGTATAATCAACGGGAGCTACCCGCGGGACCGCGTCATAGGCACGTACACATAATGAACTCTAAAAGCCTAGGAATATATCCGGATATCTGCGAGGGGTTTTACCTAAGCCCAACAACAATGCACGACCAGCACGAAGGCCTGCACAATACCTACACGTGTGAGACACTCACATTAACCTAACTCACCGGGCCTTGATTTCTTAGATAATTTAGAAGATACTCTAATAGATTTTTCTGTGTCCACTAACAAACTCCTTTGCTTAGGAGATTTTAATATAGATCTGTTAAATAGCAGTAATACGCTAAGTACGAAGTTGCTGGCCATGTTACAGTCACTTAATATGACACAAGTAATAAAAACGCCTACGCGTGTTGCTAAGAATTCATCAACACTTTTGGACCTGATCATCACAACGCTTGATATAAAAATATTGAGGACAAGCGTGCTGGATAACATATGTTTTTCAGACCATTTCCCGGTTTTTTGTGCTGTACACTCTCCTCCATATAAGATAAATCCTGTATATAAAATGTATAGAAGCTTCATCAATTTTAACTATGAAGCATTTGATA